ATAATACAATGTAAAAAATTAGTCTTTTAAGAGTAATGAATTTTAGTTTACAGTACACGATTGCAACATATTTCACAATTATGGGCTCTTTAGGAAGGAAATCAAAACTTCAAAATTGGTATTGTTAAACAAATATCAGTATGCCATAACTCGAACAAGAAATTTCTACAACTATTACCTACCATATTGTAATAACTATCTTCAGTTTAGGCTATACAGCTGATAAGGGGGTCAGGCTTGAAGAGTATGCTACCCTTTCTGTCATGAGTCCATCTCCTTCTAACCAATATATGCATATTTTGTAACTATGATTACAGGAATGGCAACTAGTGCCACCATAATACTCTGCACTACAGAAGCTACCTGTCTAAGATCAGATTTGCACTCCAGTTTTCACATCTCCAGCTCTATGTTGTTTCATGTCACCATCTCTCTGTTGCAGATGAAGGAATACCTATTTAATGCCATTTTAGCTCCCAAATATGTATTTTCTACTTTTCTGCACAGACCATAGCAAAGGTTAAAGGACCAGACCATAGATACGAGACAGAGAGAGTAATCTCAAGGTTTCTTATGTCTTTCTTTTTTGTGCTTGAGTTCTTAGGGTCTGCATACCTGATGTGGCCATTATGAGAGGGTCTTGCTTTCCCTATTGGATAGCTTAAGAATTATATATTACAGAAAAGCAATAGGAAGACTCATAACATGCAAAACACAGGAGCAGAGTCATGAATTATAGCAGGATCCTGCTGTTGAACAAGCCAAGTCCTGAATTAGATTTAAGACTTTTGAGAAGTGAAAGAGCTGCCTTATCTGAGCAGGCTCCACCTAGCTTAAATATAACTGCTGGATGGATTGACACTTTTATATGGATAACTGTCAATCATGTACACAGTCCACATGACTGAGTATCATGAAAGAGGAGATGGGGCTTCTATATGCCATGCAAATTACAAAATTGAACCAATATTTGTGGGCTCCAATGTCCATTCTGACCTGATGTCAGCTCATGGGAAGCACTAATCTGCCAGCACATGTAGAAAACAATGGACACCTATGGGTAAACAGGAAGGCAGAGGACCACCTAAACTAACATGTCTGAAAAGGTAGATCTGTAAGGGTTCCCTTCCTATCTGTGAACAGAGAAAAGCTGAACCACAATATATTATAAAAAACTTTTAGTTTTAATGAAACTGGTGGTTCTTAGACTTTCAAACGTTATGTTACCTGAACAATGTAGTTATAGTTGTTTGTTCATGCCACACTGATATATATATATCAAAATCTAGAAAGTCATATTTCCCCCTAAAGGCCCATTGAGCTAAACAAAATCATGTTCCAGCGCTTAGCATTATTGTTAAATTTCTCACATAGAAAACATTTAAAGTAGATGTTCAGTACTACACTATCTCTATTATTCAAGCATCTTTTGGTTACTTCTTAAAAATGAAATTATTTAAGCCATAAATCTATTTCTCTCACTTAAAGACACACAAAAAGCAACAATAAAATACCACATGCCAATCATTCGAATCCTAAATAGAATACATTAAAAAAATATGATTCTGAATAATGAAAATTAAAACTAAACAAGCAATAAACAAATGCTTCAATGGCACATCAGGGTAAACACCATATCATCAACTTTTCTCTGAGATACACATTGCTTTATCAAGCATGAAAAACTCTCCTAAACAAAATCTAATCATATAGTACAAAACAGCTGTGCTGTATCTGGTATTTAATGATGAGCTTTGATCAGTGAAATAAAGGCCTTTCCATTGTAACTGCAAAGTCCAAAGTCAGTAACCCATAGCAAACAGTCAGAAATCAACTTTCATTATTCTGGCTATGTAAGATTGCAGAAAAATTACCTCTGACTTGTTTCTAAGAGTTACTGAACATTGCTGTTTTTTTGCCCTATGGTATAAAACATCAAAGAGTATGACTGCTTGCAGTGAGTCAATTAAAGACTTATGCCATGTAATATAAATCTTTATCTGTATGGTAATCCTGACATAAATAACATTAATTTTCACAAAGCATTAAGTGGTCTTAACAAACCACTAACACTCTGTGAGTACCACTATACGTACACATAGTGGGTCTCACTGCTGGTCTATTGGCTTACAGGTCTCTCTATTCAACAAAAACAGACTGGCAAACCAGTGCACCACCATGACTGGCAGCTTAAAGTAAACCTATATAAAGGATATCCCAATCAAAGTAAGAGCAACACGGTAGAGAATACATTGCAAGGTGCTTTTTTCCTATCCCTTTCAGCAATGTCCTGGTCTTTCCTAAAAGCACTGTGCTAATGCTAACTTTATGAAAATTGAAATTTGCATAGAGCTTGCTATGTCTTCATTTCCTCTGAACAGTGTACAAGTATACCAACTTCCCACTTAGGCACCAAACACTGCAAAGAGTGTTCACAAGTGTGAGTATGTGTGGAAGAATCAGAAACCATGCTGATAAGTGTAGACACCTTATGTTGTTGCTTTAATGCCTCACTCCTACATTGACAAGCTTATCCATAGTGCATGTTTACTCTAAGTTGACTTTTGGCACTTAGCAAGAAGGCATCATCAAAAAGCTGTGTTGACTTAGTTAACATGTGATTTAGTATTATAGTCATTACTAAATCCTAGTTTCTGCAACCCAAATCTTCTGACTCAAGTTTTTATTGAATCCAAATGATTGTTTAGTGGTATGAAAAAGTAAAAAGGTATCAGAAAGAATTAAACACTTCATACAGCATCTTGTAGATCTATATCGTACCTCATTTTTGCCCTGCTAATATGTCTGACATCTTTAAAACTGGAGATAATTAGTGCAGGCACTTGTCTATGATCACTTTAATTACATTGGTCACTGTCAATAATGATATGTAAAGAATGTGTATAAGTAAAGGAAAACCATATATACATAATTAATTTTTACAAAAATTAAATATAAATGTATCACTAGAACTAATTTGAGACTTATCTGAGAATGCACTGCAGGAAATACATTCATAAACCAAAGAATCATATTCTGAATACTTTCCTTTTGTGCTACTGCTGTGAAAGTAGCGTTATCAGTCCAGAACATAAGCATGAAACTTAAATATGTGGTTTGTTTCAAAGAAAATAGGGCGCATAAGATCAAACTCCTAAAAGGTTTAGAAACTTGACCATAGTAAGACTAGCAATTTTCACCATATCTAGGAGCACAGCAACAGGGACATCAGATGCAGTATTCATGGTTCTTTAAGGTGGGCAGCTCATACTTTGACGGAAGAAAGTTTCTCTTTCTTTCCTTCATTATGCTATGGAGGAGTAGTTGAGCATTGATGACAGGTTTAATTAACCATGAGGATGAGACCCTAGGTCACCTTTTTTTAGTGGCAGCCAGATATGTTTAGCTACTCCATATACCATAACTCTAGAAATTATGTAATGAATATCATTTTCTAACTTTACTGTCAAGTACATATTAGTAAATAACCCTCCACATATTTAAAGTGGAACTCGGCTTAAAAATTAAAGTATGCCCCTGTTGCACACACTTTTATAAAGTAACATGCAGGGTTTAATCTCATACTTTCTATATGCAATAATGGGTTATATGTCTTTTTTTTTTTCATTTACATCTTTCAAAGGCACCCATGAAATTGCATTATGTCAGAATGGGTGGCTGTAATACCAGTTTCTACTTGCAGCAGCTTGGCAGATAAATTGTGTAATTGCAGCTCCTGGTCTGGTAAAAAAACATTGGCTTAGTCTAACTTCACATGTGTGTGGGTGGTGTGACTCCTGTTTGCACAGGCACAACAACCCATTCATTAAAATGGGCTGTTGTACCCGCATTTCCCACAGGGAAATAGTCTCTGACCTTTTTTTTAAAACATAACCGCATGGAACTGAACCACATTTTCCAATACGCATAGGGGTGCTCTTAAGAATAAATGGCACCTCCACATGTCTGCCAAAGAGCAGTGCTTTTTGGCTGCAGGTGCCTGTGGGTGCAGGAGCACATGCAATTTACATATAGTCCCTCACCTGAAACAGTGTGAACCTAGCCTTAAGCGACACCACCATGTAGCTATTTAAAGGGTTCTGTTATTGGAATCCATTTTTAGTTTAAAGTGAGATAAATCTTTCAAATTTATGTTTTTAAGGGCAAAGGAATGTTTACGGATTTCATGAAGTGTGTGGGTTCACATTTAACGAAATAGGGATCATGATAACAGCTACCAAAACATTGACATTTCAACTGCTTTCAGTAACTTGTTCACAGTGATGGCTAAAACTAAAGTGACTGTTGCAAAAAAAGGGACAGAACAAGTGAAAATTAAATTCAAGCAAAACATTATGCTAATTCCTTGAACAATAAAAAAATATTTGTCTTAGTAATTCCAGATAGTGGTAATCAAGGCAACGTGTGCAATGTATACTTTGTAAGTCAACTTTTCACTGTCAAATTAAAGGTGCTGTTTCTAGACGATGTCATTGTGCACCAGCTAACTAAATTAATAATGGTTGCTTTGGTTAATTTATTTAAAAAAAAATGAATCACTCACACTAGACACCTTGGAAAACTCACCAAAAAAAAAACAAAATCCTCATAGTGGTTGTAAACTCTGTTTAAACCACAACAAAGCCAAACCCCTTCCAGACAGTCAGAGTATTATTTATCTAGCTCACAAAATATCCCTCTTCTTATTCTAAGAAAAGTAGCCACCAATCAGGACTTTGATACCAGTAATTACATGAACAGTTCTTTCTGTATTGACTGATACAAGATATGTTCATGATCTACTGAAACCTATGCTATTCCTGCTCTTGGAGTCTTTTAGTACTGTGAGGAATGCAACCCACTATTTAGACATCAATATGTACCTCCAACATAAAAAAGTACTCAACAAAGTCTTTAAGTCTTTGAAATCTCTGCTTTGAGATTGTGAAGCACCTCCTCCACTGAACAAATGTTTCATTCTGATAATCTATGAGTATTAATTAAATCTCCAGGTCATCTGGTCTGGGCCTGCTGCTTGCATGGCTACTTGCTCTACTTGATGGTCTGTGGTCCAGTATACTGAGAGGCTGCATTTCATGTCCTGCCGGCATTTTTTTGACATTCTGATGTTCATCTGAAAATTCAAATGGCTGAGCATGAGTGTTTGAAATAGTGCTTCCAGCTTGACCCATCCTGTTTTGTTCTGCACTGTAATTAGCCCAGTTTTGTTCACTTGCTTGTTTGTTATAATTACGACAAGAAGAGGGGTTTCTGTCTTCTGTAACAAGCTTGTAACCTGGTGGTGACATAGGTGCAGTTGGAGAAGAACAGCCATTGAAATAAGCATACTTAGGGGAGCCACAATCCTTGGCAGGATTCACTGTATCATTTGTGGTGGCATAGGGGTCCTTCTTTCCTTTAATGCCATCCTTGGCACTTTTAAATGCAACGTAGAACAACTCAATAATGTTTAAAGCAAGTGATACTAAAGACACCACTAGCATAAACAAGATAAAAATGGTTTTCTCAGTGGGACGGGAAAGGAAACAGTCAACTTTATGTGGGCACGGATGTCTTTCGCAGGTATAGATAGCTTCTAAATGAAACCCATAGATGTACCATTGGATAATAAGGAAAGCAATCTCAAAAAATGATTTAAACAGAATGCTTATTACATAAGTACGAAGAAGACTACCGCGCATCTTGACCTTTCCATGTTCTTCCAAGCCATATTTGAATTTCTTTATTTCAATTTGTTTGAGATGCATGTCCACATTTCCTCCATCATTCTGGACAATTTTAAGTTCTTCTTCTTTTCGGTTCAATTTCTCTTCTTTACGCATCAAATAAAACACATGTGCTAAATATAGCAGTGTAGGTGTAGATACAAATATAATTTGGAGAACCCAGAATCGTACATGAGAGATTGGAAACGACTTGTCATAGCAGACATTCTCACAACCAGGTTGTTGAGTGTTGCATCGGAATGCAGATTGTTCATCACCCCAAGCTGACTCTACTGCAGTGCCTAATAATAAGATCCGGAAAATGAACAGGACGGACAACCACACTTTCCCTCCAGCAGTGGAATAGGCCTGCACCTTATCAAGGAGTCTTCCTAAGGCACTCCAGTCACCCATCCTTAAAAGCCGTTACCTAAAATAAAAAAAATAATAAAATCATTTGCAGTAACAGTACATCTAATACCCAAATATTTGTTTTCACATGAATCTGAAAATATTTTTTTAAATATTTAATCTGATCAACTTCTGAATAGAAAGAAAAAGATACAGTTTGTAAAATAACAGCATGTTCTTATGTGAAAAGACAAGCGCTTAAAAACTGTACATATGTTCAATTATGCAAATTATATTCATTATTATAGGGCCTCTGCAATGTGAAAAGGAAGGTATGGCTTGAAAGCTGAAAAGACTGCATGCAACTATACTTATCTTTCTGTTCCTACTTTACTTAAACATAGACAGGAAGAATTAATAGGATTTCAAAGCAACAGATAATGATTTGCATAGACTTCAGAGTCATAAAGAGAGAGACAAAGACAGAGAGACAGAGAGGGAATGAGAGAGGAATGGGGGTAGTTTACATACATATAGAGACAGAGGATTAGAGGAGTAAGGGAATGAGAATAAAGAATAGGTGGTAGTACAGGGAGTCACATAAAGTTAAACATGGAAAGAAGAAGCAAAAGAAAAGAGAGACTATGTGTGATGAAATAAGGGAAGGTGAATGAAAAGATGGTGAGGAAAAAGAAAACTAATAAATAAATAGTAAGAGTGGGAGAAATAAATTGGAAAAAGTAAAAGTAATAAGGTGTGCCAAGGAAATGATAAAAAGAAAGACAATGAAAAGAGAGAGAAAACAGAAAGGATAAAAATAAGAAAGAGCAAGAAGACAGGAGTGGAAAAAAGAGGAAAGAAAGAGGAAGAAGAGAGGAAAGAGGAAAGCAAAGGAGAGTGAAGGAGAGTTGATGAGAGCAGAGTAGAAAGGGTGAGAGGAAAAGCGAGAAGACTAAAGCTGACCGTACACGTATAGATTTTCATTTGAGAACTTTCGTTTCAAGAATATTCATTTGATTTTCTAGTCATTAGTGAGGTCAAATCGATGTTTGTTTTTGACAGCAGTGACAGTAAAATTTGAAGGGGCAGGAAAGAAAACTTTTCTTGATCAAACAAATATTCGGCAAGTGTATGTGGTTTTCATTCAGAAATTACATTCATTTTAAAATCGAATGTTAAAAGCAAAAAACTATTTTTGAATGACATTCATCCATTCATTGAATGTGCAAAGAATTGTCATCTGAGTTTTCTTTTGAATATTTTCAACTGAAAATCTACACATGTATTACCAGCTTTCAGGAGAGGAGAGAGGGGTAGAGGAGATGAGAAAAGAGTTAGGGAGAGCACAGGGGGTTAGTGGAGATGAGAGGGTAGGATAGAGTAAGTGAGGGAATGGAAGGAAAGGAGAGGAGAAGAGATGTGAGAAGAGAGAAGAGTGAGTAAGAAAAGAGGACATTTGGAGAAGGAAAAATGGGGAGTAGAGAAGGGGTAAGAGGATGGGGCAGGACAAGAGGGAATACTAAAAAAGGGAGTTCAAAAGAGAAAAATTAATTAAGAGGAAAGAGAGAGATTTGAAGATAGTAAAAGAGAGGAAGTGGGGATGGAAACAAGTAAAGGAGGAGGGGTATGAAAGAGTAAAAGATGGAGATCTGTCATTCCAAATATGTTATGCACGCAATTCTACACATCTTTTGAGCACATGCGGAACATTTAGAGCATGTTTCTTTGTTCACTATGAAATGATGCTAGCATCTTTGACTCATGTATGGATGACTGCTCCAATCACTCTAAAAAAATGTAATAAAGAAGTAAAGAATGCTGACTTTTCTCTTTGAGATTATTTTGTTGACCTTAGGACTCCATGGATCAGATTAGTATCTTCATGATATTATTAGTGGAAGGTATAGTAGATTCTACTTCTTACATACAGTATGAATATATCAATTTATCAGGGTAAAAATAAATTTAATTCAGTATGCATGAGCTAAAATGTTTAAATATATTCATGCATCTCAAGTTTTGTGTTATATAAACCACAATGATGATGTACATCAGGAGTCTCCATACTTTCTAAACAGAGGGCAAGTTTATTGTCTGTCAAACTTTAGGTGGCTGAACTGTGGACATCGGGAGTGGAAATTTTCCTGACATCCATTGGAAGTAAACATTGCCACATTTGGTATTAGGGGCGGAAACTGTGCCCTATCATTGAGAGGAATAGTGCCCCATTTTTGCTGTCAAAGGGAGAAATGGTGCCTATTGTTGGTGTCAGTTGGCAGAAGAGTGTCTTGTATCAATGGAAGGAATAGTTCCCCAAGGGCCAGATAAAGGCAAGCAAAGGACCACATCTGGCCACAGGGCTGCAGTATGGAGACCATTGATCTATATGAGTCACAAACAGGCACTAAGGTAAATCAGTATTAACCCAAAATGGAAAATGTGATATATAGTGCAGCTTACCAATCATTAGATGTGGTAGCTGTATTAGTTTTCTTTTTTAGACTTTTCCCTCTTTTTTGCCTGGTGATTTTTGACAGTAACACACCTCCTGTATCAGAGTGTCTACAGGGGCAACAGAGACACCTTTGGACAGTATCTTAGTCAGCCAGGGAGGGGAATGTTAGATACTAGCAGATTTAAAGAAACTAACAAACTGAAGCAAAATTCCAGCTCACACTTTATAAGCAGTTGCAGCAACAGTGTTTTTCTGTTGGGATAGTGGTTTTACATGAATAAATAAAATCTGACTGTTGTAAAAACTCCTGTTTATGGTATATGGTTTGTCCCAACACTCTAACTGATACATTTGCAGGAGAGTGTGTTCTGTGGAGACTTACTGGTCGGATTCCCAGATGAAAATAATGGAAAGAAAGTCTAAAAAAGAAAACTAATGCAGCCATCACATCGAAGAATTAGTAAGCTGCAATATATTTTGGGTTTAATACTGCTTTAATGTGTCACCAAACACAAAACCTTAGACTTAGTTCATTATCAGGACCACCATATGTGAAAACTGTTAAGTTCTTCTTACAGTATATTATTTTCCTTTATATATTTCATGGTATTTAAGGATGATACTGTGTGTTCCCTCAAAAAAAACAACTGTCTGAAATCAGACTGAACTAATTACTCCACTGCTGATAGCCAGGAGGACTGCCACGTACAACAGAGAAGCATAGAGATAGATAGATAGATAGATAGATAGATAGATAGATAGATAGAAAGAAAGAAAGATGATAAAAATAAGAATACCTTAACCAATAATGGCAATGTAACACCTCATCATTTGTATATATGGAGTGCACCATTGCAGTTTGCAAGGATAACTCTTTTGTGATGATGTGCTTGTTAAACATTCATCCAGATTTCCAGTAGGTCATATGCATATTTGAAATTCTACATTGCGCACTGCATTACCACTACCAGCTTATTACCAAGGCTCAGGGGCCCTATGGAAATGGGCCAATATTTAGATTTCTGATTTTCTAAGAAAAAAAAAACTTTAATAAATGCAGTGAAGTCTAGATGTTTCGGTAGTTGAAAAGTAAAGTATGTTTAACAGATGTTATAATGGCAAAGCACACAGAAAGTTCTGATTTGTAAATGGGAAGCAGAGGATATGTGCATTGCAATGTGCAGCTTGGGTCTCCTCTCTCATTACATAGGACAGCAGGGAAATATGGGCATGACAGCCACTGCACAATGAACTTAATAACTGCTAAATCTTACTCAGCGGGATTACTAACAATTAGTGCCTGAACACAGTAATATGAAAATTCCAAGTCATGCATATTCTCACTTCAGGCATCTATAAACCTGGATCAGATTTGTTAAAAAGCTGCTGTACAACAGCAAAACATGCACGTCTGTTTTTGTTTTGCCCTAGTTTTAAAGCTGGTAAAATCTAATTCTGTGCAAAGTGAGGCAAGTATCCAGTTCTTAACAGAGCAGGTCAAACCACACAGTAGGTCAAGCATATAGCTTTAAATAGGGCAAAAGAAACCATACTGTAGACATGATCCAAAACAAAAAAAAGGTTTGGCGTATTACCTGAAAAAACTTTGTTCCTGAGACTAACCCAGTTTATATAAACCTATTTAGATTAATTCAAGGCAAAAACAGTAGACTTCTGTTGCCCATAGCACACATTACGAATTTCAGGCAGTGTAGTCACCATGCAAGCAGGCTTGTAATTGGTTGCTATGGGTTACAATCTGTCATTTTTTATTTTATAGGAATATATTACCAATGCAATTTTTTTTAGGCTGTGAAAATACCATCTCAGAAATATAGCAAAGATCACAATTATATGGCAAAATTGCTTATTCTTTAGCTAAAAAAAAACTATGCAACTAACATGCAGCTTTCCTATGCAGAACTGCAGAGCTACAGGCTTTTAGTATATTTTCTTGTATAGAAGTCTTCCCTTGGCAAAGCTGTTTGTAGCATCATCAGTAGTTGGCACAGTGTTGCAGTCTGATGTGGCTGATCACTGCCAGGATACAAAACAACCAGGAACAAAATGCAGCTGGCACACACAGAATGCCCTACATACCACATATACACTACCATGGCGATATGTATCGCTAATCTCATAGCTTTATACAGTTATTCTATTTCTATTACAATGTTATGTTAAATGTACATTTTCACACAAGTAAAACAGATTTTATGCCAGCACTGGTAGCACCCAAGGGAACTGGAAAATCCATTTAATCCTGAGCAATCAGAGAAATTAATTGAATCCTTTTCCAGTGAATTATACTGGTCCATTACTTCCAGTAGACTGTAAATGGACAGTATTTATATCCAACACTGTCATGTAAACTGTAGCAAAAGTATATACTGAAAGAATACTGTTTTTCTGGATAAGTGGTTCACTCTCCCTTAAATATAAATCAATTCATTTAAAGTCAAATAACATAAAGAAAGGGGTTTATATGAGCCGCACAATACCTTTCTTGTCCAAAGTGCTGAAAACAAACTCCGGGGAGTCCTTGGAAAGCAGCGTGAATAAGTGACAGCGTGTCTTTTTAAAGTTTAAAAGTCTTTTGCTGACTCCA